CTTCAGATGTTACCTCTGTGGATCAATACCCTCCAGAAATTACTTTAACTGATCCTTCGAATATAGACAAAATCTCTTCAGGCATCGGCTGTTATAATTTACCATTTTTAAATGTTCTTGACATCTCCCACGTTAATTCTCCACCTTCAAACTCTCTCAGCCCCATTTACTCTAGTCAAAATTCTCCAGATTCTACCAACTCTAATCCTCCTGTGGACCAATACCCTCTAGAAATTACTTTCCTTGAACCTTCGAATATGGATCAAATCTCTCCAGGCATTGACTATTGTAATTCTCCATTTACAAATGTTCTAGGCCCCTACTACGTTAATTCTCCACCTTCAGACTCTCTCAGCATTATTCACTCTAGTTGGAATTCTCCAAATGCTGCCACCTCTAATCCTCTTATGGTCAAAAACCCTCTAGAAATTACTTCGAGCATGGACCAAATCTCCTCAGACAATACCTGCTATAATTCTAGCACAGATCAAAACTCTCTACCTTTATATGCGTACCAAAACGTTACTTACTCTGATTATCCACTGCTAAATATCGATAAAACCCAACCAATTACATCTCTTTATGCACACGTAACTATATATGATGACGAACTTATGAATGATCTTTCCCATTAACTTATAGAACAAGATTTAATCCATATTAGTTATTTAATTACATTATATGTAATAATTTATAAGATAAATGGTGATTTCTGTTTAATTATAAAACTTTTTATTTTTCCTAGGTAAAAATATAAAATTAGGCAATGCAAATTTCAGATATATTACATTTATGTATATATATATTTTTTTTTTAAAAAAAAAATCAATTTAGTGAATAATATTTGTCAGGCGTCGTTTATTATTTTCCGTGACTGAAGAAACTTTATCCTTTCTCTAATTTCAGCACAAAAATAGAAATAGTACGCATATAAGATATAATATTTTTTATGTATAGAAAAATATCTCCGTTGTAATTAAGAGTTTTATCTAACATCCATTTTTTAATACTTATATGCACATATACTGTATTAGTGACTCGATTAAATCTGCAACGAAATTTTTAATTTAATTTAGTTTAATAATATTACTATATGTAATTGTTGTTAGAAGTTTTTTTTTTTATATTTAATTTATTATTAATTTTTATAATTCTTTCTTGTCATATTTTATTATTTAATATTATTTATTGATAAGACTTTTATTACAAAAACTGATTAATTAATAATTATTTATTATTATTTTGTATTAAATTATTAATGATAAATTTTCAAGGCGCTGATATTCTTTAACCATCTCCTGATCTATAATGAATGCAGATTTTGAAAGGGTAGGAATTTTAATGTTATCCCATGAAGGGCAACAACTTAAAGCAACATATGCTTAACCAGGTGCAAAAATTTGATCATCTAAATTTATTGAAATATTATTTAGTGTTAACCCTTATGTCTTATGTACTGTCATTGCAAAAACAATTTTGTAAAGGAAACTGGGTACAACTTGCATAGTTTCCATTGACAAAAAATAATTCACTTGTTTTTTTATTTCAATGTCCATAATTTTGCTATGAGCACAAAAAGCAACTCGTACAGACATTTCTTTCAAATTTACATCCAAAATTATACCAATTGTACCATTACATATTCCAAGATTAATTAAGCTATTATTTAAATACATTACACGAGCACCTTGTTGTAATCTTACTGTGTGAGGTAGGTTTGTATGTGATTTAAAACTCTTTTGTGCTAATTTAGAATCCCATTTTTCATTATTTATATAATCCATTGATTCTGAAATTAAAAATTTATTTTCTTCTTCAAATATTTCTTTTGATGTTTCTTCAATTAGCTTTTTTATATTCTTTGATTCTTCGTTTGTTATTATCTGGTCCTTTATTCTTAAGAAGTTTGTGATTGTTTTTCCTTCTTTTCCTATTACTTTTCTGTGTATTCCTTCGAGTATTTTTCTTAAGTCGCTATTTTCTTGTTCGAGTTTTTTTGTTTTACTTCTTACGTCTTCTAATTTTTCCAAGACTTCTTTTAGTTTTGATTTTGTGAATATTATTTCTTCTTCACTTGTTTCTTCTTCGCTTGAATTTTTGAAAATATAGTTAGAGCTTTCTCGTCTCTTATTGTCGTATTTTATTTCTGATTCTTGACTTTCTGAGTCTGTTTCTGCCATTTTCTGAGTTGGTCTTTTCCCTCGTCTTTTTATACTTATTTCCAGAGTTTTTCAATGGTTGTATACAATTTCCCAATTCTGTTTATCGTTATTCCGTTTGGGAATTTTACGTTTTCTAAGTTTTCTGCGCATATTGTCGTTTTCGATACTCTTTTTCTTCCAAGTCTTTTCGTATATTTTACAATTCTGTTATATGGTAAATTAGTATATCTACTTCTGATGTTTTTATCAGTGGTTCTGTTTTTTCTTCATTTATTTTTCCTCCGTATACGTATATCCCTATCGTATTCTGTCGGCTTCCTATTGCTCCTTGTAATTTCATTATTTCGTCGTGTGGTGCTTCTTTTGTCATTTTACATTGCATTATGAAGTAGACTGTCCTTTCATTTTCTTTTCCAATGTTAAGTATGATTTTTCCATGGTCCCCTAGTACTTCGAGTTTATATTCTTCTCCCATTTTTGTGCTTTTGATATTGTTGCAGTTGCTCCTAGTTTTCTCATTATTTTTTGGCATCTTTCTTCGAGCCAATTCCCTTTCTGGAGTGGTCCCATTTTAAATGCTGTTTTTACCATTTCTTCGGTTACTATGTGCGATTCTTTTTCATTTATTTTCTTCGCTTATTACTTCTTTTTTCCATTTTTCTTTTTCTTGATATTAATACTTCAAATTCTTTTTCTTGTTCGTTAAAACTTCTTTTCATTTAAATTTCTTTACGAATTTTTCTAAAAATTCTTTTTCTTCATTTGATCCTTCTTTATATAAGGTTTGTTTTCCAATTATTTGTATTTCTTCTCCTAATTTTGGAAATTCTTCAAGGTATGTGTCCCGTAATCCTATGAAGTATTCCACGTTTTCTTTTTCATTTGATCTGTTTCGGTTTCTTAGTCGTTTTATCATTTCTTTTTCTTCGGTTCCCCATAATATTACTTTTTCTGTTATTCTTTCGATTGAACTTTCAAATTGCTCGTGGTTTTTTACCAATTCTTTTTCGTCTTCTTTTAGTATTTCGTCTTTTATCATGTTTCTTATGAATACTCTTGTACTTATTAATCCTCGATCCTTTAGTATAATTTCTGCTTCATTCTTTTTACTCAAGATTTCATAATCTTGTTTCTTATGTCCATTTATTATTCCTTCTTCTAGTAGTATTCCTACTCTTCTTAATTCTTCATTTAACCTTTTCATTAGGTTGTCTAATTCTCCAATTCTTATTCCCATTTCTTATATCTGTTCGGTATAAGCTTTTATTTTTGTCTTTTCTGGCGCTTTTTCTTTTAGTTTTTCTTCTATTATGCTTATGTCCGCATAATTCATTTCTGTTTGTTGTAGTTGGTCTGCCCATTCTGTTTTATTTTGTATTGCTTGATAGTATCCTTTTAATATTTCATTCATTCTTCCTTTTAGTATGAAGGATTCATCTCGGATTTCTGTTTTTATTCCCTGTTTTTCAAATTCTTCTTTCATTTTCTTTATTATTGTTGTTTTTCCTACTCCACATGCCCCGTCTATGTGGATTATTTTTGGTAATTTTTCTGGTCCCTTTTCTTCATATTCCAATCCTTCTCGTAAGGATTCAATAAGTTCTTTTTTCAATATTTCTTGTTTTCTTTCCGGTTGCCATGGTGTTCCGTTCTGTTGTTCATACTTTTCGGGTGTTCCGGTTGCAGTGTATATGTATATTATTCGTAATTCTCTTATTCCTTCCGATCCGCTGCTCCAATATTCGCGTACCATTTTTGTGAGGTATTTTACTTCTTTATTTAATCCTGTTTCTTCATACAATTCTCTCTTTGCTGCTTCTTCGGGTTTTTCTTTTCCTTCTATTTTTCCTCCTGGTGACTGCCATAGTCCGTGGTCAGGATTCCATACATTATTTCTTTGGCTTATCCAATATACTTCGTTTTCTTCTTCATGCTTTAATAGGATTGTTACCCATTCCTTTATTTCTACATTTCTTAATCCTGTTATTTCTTCCATATTTTTCATTCTTTCAATTCTTTCCAACTCTCTTCTGAGTTGTACTGTAGGTTTATTTGTTTCAAAATTATACATGCTTTCAGGATTCCATCCTGCGTAATACAATTCTTCAGGATCTTTCCCAAGTCCTGTTTTTCTTATAATTTTTTTGAAGATTTCAATTTTTGGTCTGTAGTCAGGTTCCATTTTCTGGTGGTTCCTTGGTCTTTTTCTGCCTCTTTTTATAATTTCTTTTTGTTCCACAATTATTTTTGTAGTACCGTTGTGCGGTTGCTTTATTTTTTAGTTCTTTTTATCCATTTTTCTTCGTCTTCTGTTATTCTTTTTATTTGCATTTTTTTATTCATCATTACTTTTCTTTTTCGTTTTTCTTTCCATGTTAATCCTTTTCCCGGGTATTCTTTTCGTAATTCTTTTTCTTTTTCTTTTCTCGGTTTTCCTTGTATTTCTCTTCTTATTTCTTCTATTGTTTTTTCTTCTTTGTTTATTATTTTTTCGACATCCATTTTTCTATTTCTTCAAGCTTTAAACATATTCCTTTATTCCAGTAGTGGTATTTATACTTTTCATTCACTATTTTCATTATTCCTTCCATCCATTCCGTTGGGATACTTTTCCATTTTTCTTGTTCCATTATGTATATGTGTATTATTTTTGTCTTTGTTATTTCGATACTATATGTTCAGATCATTTTTCCTTTCTGTTGTTTTATCTTAAACAACTCCTTTCTTGTTTCTAATTCATACATCGCTGTTTTATAGAACAACTTATTTACTTTTCTTAATTCGAATATTTGTTCTTTCTTTGGTATATATCCGAATATTTCTTGTAATATTTCTGGTATATTCATTTCTTTACCAATTCTTGTTTTCCTTCGTTTTTGTTGAATCTGTTTACTTCTACGTAACTGAAATACAATCCTTTATTCCAAAGGTGCCTTTGTACCCTTTATATACGTCGTACCATCCATTTCTTTTTCTTAAGTATATATGTATTATTCCATTCTATGTTCTTATTACACTATACGTTCCTGTTTCCGATACTTTTCTCATTTTGCTTACTTTAAACAATTCTTTTCTTGTTTCTAATTCATACATTGCTGTTTTATAGAACAGCTTATTCGTTCTCCTCATTTTGAATATGCTCCATTTCCATGGTATGTATTCAAATATTTCTTGTAGTATTTCTGGTATATTCATTGCTTCTTTGCTTATTTTTGTTGGTTTTTGGTCCTTTTCCACTCCCCTTCTTTCTTTTTATAATAATTTTTGTAATTGTGTTTTTTGTTTCTATGATTGTGATTTTCATTTCTGTGATTGTGATTTTCATTTCTGTGATTGTGATTTTCGTTTCTTGCTTAAGGATAAACGCTTAAGACTTTACATTTTTTACTTCATTTACTTCATTACTTAAGGATAAACGCTTAAGGCTTTACATTTTTTACTTCATTTACTTCTTTTTCTTCTACTTCATCTGACCATGATATTTTCTTTAATCCTTCGGCTTCATTTTGTTTTTAACATTCTTCTTTATTCTGATCCATTCTTTTCAATATACTTTTTATTCCTGTTAATGCTTCTTCTTGTTCTTTTATTTCTTCGTTTATTTGCCGTCCTTTTACTACTTCAGCATATGTTATTTTTTTCTTTCCCTTTCCCTTTTCCATTTTTTCTTGGGTTTTCTTCGTGGTGCTTTTCTTTGCAATCGTCGCAATATTCTTCCTTTTCATTTCTTGGCATTAAGCATTCTTTGCATAAACCCATTTTTATTTCTTGTAGTTTTTCATATCCTTTCTGTATATACCATTTCAAATTTCTTCCTTCCCCTTCGTATTGGAAGGTTTCTTCCATTATTCTCCGTATTTGTTCCATTTCTTGGACTGTTTCTTCCGATGGTTCTGGTTAATTTATCCGTTGCATTATATTATGCAGTCTTATTTCTTCATCTTCTGTCCAATTTCTTCCCGTATGGGTCCATTCATCTTCTTCTTGAGGTTCTTTTGCCTGTTTTAATTGTTCATCCGTTACAGGTTCTCCCTGCTTATTCTTTCTGAAGTATAGTCCTGCCAACCTTAATATTCCGGTCTTATTATTACTATAACTTCTTGTATTTCTGAATCTTTTTCCTGATCCTTCCGTTCTTTTTCGTACTTCTTCCCGTATTTCGGAGTACCGTTCTGCTTCTGTTGCTGCTGCCAATGCTACCTGGCATTCTAAGTCACATATACTCTTATTTTGGCTATATCCGCTTTGATTCTTTCGTCTGGGGAATTCTTTTTGGCATACATCGCACTTCGTTACTTTCTGCCGTTTCCATTCTTCTGGAACTTCTTCTCCTCTTTCCAGTTTCTCTTCATTTTCTCAATCTTCGCAGGTCTGACATTTTGCCTTTCCGCACAATCTAAAGGTTAGTTTGCTTTCTCTTGCGGTTTCTTTACATCACAACAGTGTTGTCGAGAGGTTCTTTCGTTTCCTCCGAAATGTGTACTGATATCGTTTGGATTACATCCACATCCATAATTCCAATTTTTTTTTATTCCGATTCTATTTACTATTCTCGTTATTTCCCATTTATTAATTTCATACCATGTTTCTTTTCCGTTTTCACAAACTTCGCATTTGTATGATATTCTTGGTTCCGTTCTTTCCCGTTTACAATTTCTCAATTCGTTTATATCCATTAGTCCTTTACAGGTACAGCAATGGAATTCTTTACTACCTCTTTCCCTGAGTATTTTTTCTAAATATACTTCATTGTATATTCTTTTCAGATCTCGTGCCTCAATTCCTCTACAACAAATCATTGATTTGTTTCCTCGTTCACTTGGAGTCATGGTTTGCCATTCTTCATTGGGTATTCCTGAAAATCTTCTGCCTGCGTGTACTCTTCCATAAGAGCTTCGTCGGAAATCCATTTCAGTTCTTGTTCTGTTAATTTTTGATAATACTTATAATAATTCTGTATCAAGTTCCTGATCCTTTCTTCTTTCTTTACGTTTTGTAGAATTTGTACTTCAGCAGTCAAATACTGTTTTGTTCTTGATATGCTATCGAAAATTGTTCTTTGTTCTTGTCCTTCTTTTAATATCGAGGGTATGAACTGTATGTTTTCTACAGGTATTGGTTCTGTTTCTTTCTTTTCGATTTCTTTTACTTTCCAATTTCGTTCCGGAGAGTAAGGTCGATGTCTTGTCCTTTCTTTTGATCTTTCTTTTGATGGGGTTTTTCGTTGGTTGCTTCTGTTACAAATCCTAGAGTTGTGATTACTTCCTCCACAAATTTTACAGTTTGGTTCGTAACTGCTTTTTTTCTTTTCCATTCGCCCGTTTCTGCTTTTTCAGTCGGTATTTTTGCTGTCCTTTTTATATCTTTTTGCCGTCAAATTTTCAGATTCCCTTCGGTTTTCCAATTGGTTCTTTTTCGATTTTCTGTGTTCCTTTTCAGTTCCCATAGGAATTCTTTATTTGTTCTCATTGGTTCTACAAGATATTTCGTCCGTTTACTAATAGTTGAGTGAAATTCTCGTACTTCTATCTTGGTTTTACAAGATATTTCGTCCGTTCACTAGTAGTTGAGCGAAATTCTCGTACTTCTATATCATTTTTGACAGTTGACTAGAGGTCGGAAATTAAGAATGTGAAGATAGACTGGGGCTCCATGAGAATTTTAAGTCTTTCCTCGTCAATGAGCTTTTTATCAAGAATGAAATAAAGCGTATGCTCGTCCATATTTGGGCAGTTGGATAAAATGAATCACTTACATGATAATATTGAGTTATATGAGAATATTTTCCTTTTCCTTTTGTTATTTTTTAAAGGTGGGAGGATAAATATTTGGATGAAATTTTATAGAAAAAATATAAAAAAAGCGTTACACTAAATTGGCTTGGTCTCTCGACACATTGTAACCTAATTAAGTTTAAATTGGAAATGAGCTACAAAGAGATAAAAGAGAAAATCGATATCTACATATCTGAGTATACATATAAACTGTACTGTACGAAAACGCTATCTTGTACTGTACGAATAAAAATTAGTGTGACTGTATG